AAGAAAATTTAAACTTATGAAACATGAATAATATCAAAAAACTGAAACACTTGGAAGCTGAACCAAACATGCTCTAAGAATCTCTACTAGAAAGCTCTCTACATTTTCTAGTTCATTTGAAAATTCAAATTTGCTTGTCCCATAATGGATTGAACTTGGCATGTTTCAACTTTTTTTTTTTTTTAATTTGCAAATTCAAGTTTCCCTGTCCCATAATAGATTGAACTTGGCATGCTTCTTCTTTTTTTTTTTCTTTTTTCTTTTTTGTCTAATTTCATTTAGTTGTTTACTTTTTGGTAGTGTTTGTGAATATGATGAGGCTGCTCCATAAGGGTTTAGTTTGCAGTAAATTTGTCAGTGTGTGTCTAGTTGGGATAAATTATAGGCAATAGTAGACTTGAGAGTTTATATGAAGTATTTTACATGCATATGTACTTTATATTAATCAAATTGGTCAACTTGCAGTTAACTTTAGAAGCTTTGTATTGTTGTGCAGGAACCAATACATGGGATATATTTGTCCATGTCCACAAGCGAGTGATTGACTTATTTAGCCCTCCTGATGTGGTCAAGCAGATCACCTCAATTACTATTGAACCTCATGTTGAGGTGTATTGGAGAGTATCATGGAGCAGAATGAGGAAATCAATAATCAATCCACAATGGTCAAAAAATAATGTGCACCAATATTAGATGGAGTGGCATATCTACCCCATATATCACAATGAATTAAGGCAAAAGGATGAGCAGATTTATTATTGCTAATAGGAAAAGGTAGTCTTGTTTGCTTAGCTCGATGACAAGCATCACAAACATGTTTTATTTGATTTGAACATAAAGGTTAAGAAGATATTTTAGCTAGTCGTTTTGTAGGTGCATGCCCAAGCCGTTGATGCCATAACTCCAAGGATGTGTCCTCCTTCTTGGTATGACTAGTGGCTGCTACATGCCCAAAATCACAATAGTAAAGCCCATCACGAAGCTTACCCATTCCAATCAACCTCCTCGAGGCTAGGTCCTGGAAGACACAAAAATCAAGGAAGAAAATTACAGCACAGTTAAGTTGCTTTGTTATCTGACTGACAGAAAGAAGATTGCATGTAAATTGAGGGACACACATAACATTTTCTAGAGTAAGTTTATCTGACAGAGTGGCTTTCCCTAAATGAGATGCATCTAGGGTGGATCCATTAGGGATGTAAACAGGTGATGAGTAAGGCCTTGTGTCCTAGAGTATGGAAGAGTGTGGTGTCATGTGATTATATGCACCACTATCAATTATCCAAGAAAGAAAAGAATGTGAGGTCTTACCAGCAAGGTTGATAGATTGTTTAAGATCAGAATTACCACCAAGAAGCATGAGGAGATGATCATATTGTGCCTTGGTAAGTCCTGTAATTGGTGATTGATCCAATTGACCTCCAGTCATTTGTGGCTCAAGTGATGCATTTGTTGCAAAAATCACATCCTTATCTGTGTTCTAATGTTTTTGCTGCTCCCCCTTACCCCTCATCTTTGTTTGTCCTGGTTTCCAACTCACTGGATAGCCTATTATTTCATAGCATCTTTCCTTTGTGTGGCCTATCCTTTTGTAGTTATCATAGCGTGGTTTCCCTGATGTGCTCACCTTTCTGTTATAACTTGTCTTTGCTGCTAAAGCCGTTGCCCCTATAGCTGGACTTCTAGATGTAGACACCATTTGCTGTTTTTCTTCTTTTGTGGCCATTGAGTAAACCTTGTTGAGAGATGGTAATGGTTCCATGTTCAAGATTTGTGAGCGCATGGTAGAAAAATTCTCATTCAAGCCCATGAGAAATTGATGAACCTTCTCAGTCTCTCGTGCCTTTGTAAACTCCTTTGTTGCACCACAAGTACATGTTGGCACAAGTTCATGAGCCTGCAACTCATCCCAAATAGGTTTCAATTTTGTGAGATAAGCTGCTACAAATCTTGTTTGTTGAGTGGTTGTTGCGAGCTCGAGCTTTAGTTCATATATCCGGGATGTGTTTCCTTGTGAGAAACATTCCTTCAAATCTTCCCAGACCTCTGTTGCACTCTCAGCATAACCCTAACTGTCATGCAATTCCCTTGAGAGAGCATTCAATATCCATGACAACACCATGGAGTTACACTTTGTCCAAACCAGAAACTCTGAACAATCTGCACTTGGCGTTTTAAGAGTTCCATCAATGAACCCCATTTTGTTCTTTGCATATAGAGCATTTTGCATCGCTCTCCTCCACGTATGGAAGTTTTCTCCTGTTAAAGGAGATGCGACTAGAACCTTGCTAGGATCATCACTGGGATGAAGATAATAAGGTGAGTCCAGATCTGTTGTGTTGAGGACAACCTTGTCTCCCCTTGCTCCCCCAGAACCTTTCTTGGCTTGGTCGTTGTCTGTCATCATTGATTCCTTATGGCAACAAAAACTTGCTGTTAATTTAGACTCCTTTGCTCTGATACCATAAGAACACAGAGTATGGAGCAACGAATTGTGCTAATTGCATTGGATTTTATTACTATGGATGCTAATCATATATACAAACTGGTACCAATAATGAAGCCTAGAAAGACGCTACTGTACAAGGAAAAAAAAAATACATACTGTAAATAACTCTACAATGATAGTGCAAAGATTGATTATTGATTTCCTCATTCTACTCCGTGATACTCTCCAATAAGGTGGGGGTCACTATTGCTGATTCTTGAATGTGGCCCACTTTTTCCCTTTTTGGATCTTTTGAGTTTCTTAATTTAGAGAACTTTCATGTGGTGCTAAACATAGATGAATGAATGTTAATTTTAGGATGTTACTATAGTTCCCTTTTTGCCATACTATTTTTGACGTTGGAGTGTTATGTGATACAAGATTCTATTTCCTTTTCATGTTCATGATCTTATGTTATGTACGTGGTCATTGATTGCATTTGCCTAGCTAGCAGTTCTCTAACAAGCTTTCTTATCGGTTCTTGTATCTGAGTGTCTCGAAGAACACTGAGATACATGGGCCGTGCAAGAATGGGTCTTTAGGCAGGCTCATTGATTTGGGCCTTAAAGCATTTAATCTTAAAGGTACTAGTGGGTGTTTGACAAGGATTTAAAAAAGTAACCTGTCTAAAATAAATTGTTCAAAAGTATTTTTTTTTCTTCGTAAATTTAATTTTTTTTCTTTAAAACTTATTTGAAAGTTATTTTAAAAATTAATATTTAAAATTTTTAATAAAATTTTAAATTTATGAAAAAAAAAATTGCTTTCTAAACTTTTAGGATCACCCTCTTAGCCGGGAGCTGTCATTTGAGAAATATTTACTTTATTGACTTATTCTTTGGCCGAATGTGACAGTGTCAGAGAGATTAAAAAGATGTCTTCTTCTTATCTAGATTTCACGCCGACCATCCATTATCCATTCCATTTTCTTTCTCAATAAACGAAAATTACATTACGGCCATTATGATTGCAAAGTGCTTCCAGTCTTCAAAAAGATCCAGAAATCATGTCTAACTTCTACGATAAGATTTCCCATGGCCTCGTATCCGAGCTCCGGCCATGGTGGCAGGTTGGACTCTCCGGTATCAGACTCTCGCCGTTCACTCTCCTCGGCACCACAGTAGTAGCCGTTTCTTGGTATTTATGGCTGACGAAGAAATCAACGAGAGGCATGCCACCGTTGCCACCCGGTCCACCAGGCTTGCCTCTGCTAGGAAACCTCCCGTTTCTTCAACCTGATTTCCACCGCTACCTAGCCAAATTGTCTCAAACTTACGGTCCAATCATAAAGCTTCAACTTGGGAGTAAGATTTGCATTGTCATAAGCTCCCCATCCCTCACCAAAATCATACTAAAAGACCATGATACGATCTTTTCTAACCGTGATGTTCCCGCATCAGCAATAGAGATATCATATGGCGGAATTGATGTTGCCTGGAGCCCCAACAGTCCCCAGTGGCGGAAGATGAGAAAGATTTTCGTTCATAATTTGATGAGCCACTCGAGCCTTGACGCCTGCTATGAACTTCGTATACGGGAAGTGCGAAAGATGGTGAAGCACATCCATGAAAAGGTGGGGTTGAGTATTGACATTGGCGAGCAGACGTTCCTTACGGTGCTGAGCTTGACAACGAGCATGTTATGGGGAGGTGCATTCCAGGGGGAGGAAAGGAGGAGAGTTGAGGTTGATATTAAGGAGGCGGTGGTGGAGATTGTTGAACTGGTTGGAGAACTCAACATTTCCGATCTTTTTCCGGCCCTTGCTCGATTCGATCTTCAAGGAATCCAAAAGAAAATGAGGAAAATTTGGTTGTGGTTTGATGGGATTTTTGAATCACTGGTAGAAAATCGGATGAAGATTGAAGGGAGCAGGGAAGAAACAAAGGATTTCTTGCAACTGTTGTTGGAGATGCAGCAGAAAGAAGATGAAAAAACCTCATTATCCTTGGACCAAATCAAGGCACTGTTAATGGTACAACATTTTTCTTATGCATAAACTTCAAATCCATTTAGTTAGGTTTTCACTTTCCTCTTTCCTGTTTTTAAAATTTGAAAATGGAAACTTGTTTCTTACGAGAAAAGATTCTTTTTCTTCAGAACTAATGTAAAGTTCTTAAATGTGGATGTGGTGTCATCTCTTAAAACTGTAGTTGTTATGACATTTTTTACTATTTTTTTTTTTGGTAAAATGACATTTTTTACTATTTGGAAGTGAAAGCCTGCTTTCTTCATTTGAATATGTACAACAAGTCTTATTGCATCCATACATTTTGGAAATCAAGTGTTGAAAGCACAAATTTGTTATTTCCTCAAACTTACACGTTCGATTTGAGTTTATGTTCATCAACAGGATACAATTGTTGTTGCCCCGCATACAACATCTGCAGCAGTGGAATGGGCAATGGCAGAGATGCTGCGGCACCCAGAGAAAACGAGAAGAGTTCGTGAAGAAATTGAGGAAGTGGTCGGTAAGCACAACATTGTGGAGGAATCCCATTTGCCCAAACTGCTATATTTGGATGCAGTCCTAAAAGAGAGTCTCCGGCTGCACCCCCCGGCTCCGCTCATGGTGCCACGCAGCCCAGATAGGACATGTACCGTGGCAGGATACACTATCCCTCAGGGCTCAAAAATTCTATTTAACACATGGGCAATTCAGAGGGACCCTAAAGTTTGGGAAAATCCCCTGGAATTTGAACCTGAGAGGTTCTTGAATGACCCTGGAAAAGGTGATTACCATGGAAACAACTTCAGTCTTTTTCCATTTGGGTCCGGAAGGCGAATATGTGCTGGAATTCCTCTTGCAGAGAAAATGATGAGGTATGTAGTGGCCACATTGGTGCATTCTTTTGAGTGGGAATTGCCAGAGGGGGTGGACCATGATCTCTCTGATAAATTCGGATTTGTTTTGAAAAAATCGACTCCTCTTGTTGCCAAACCCACAGTAAGATTGCCCACTGCGATTCAATATCTTTAGAACTTTCTTATCTCTTCTACTTGCCCCATAACTTGACTCTAGGGATAAGGAGTTAAGGATATGTGAGCAGTAAATACTGAATAGAAATAAGCTTGTGCTTCCACTTATGGTATGGAAAAATGACATCTATTTATCATGAAGGCAAATATCATTAAGTTCTATTATAATTTCTTTGTTAAACTATTCTAAGTTGACATCCACTACAAGGAGATGTATCTATACTGACGGAAGTTTTCTGTCTGTATAAACCCATTTTCCATTGGTATAGACCCTTAGGGACTATTCCGACAGACTAACTTTCAGTCGATAGAAACCTCATCAGTATAGGGTATATACTAACGCCTAATCTGTTTGTATAGACCCTTGGATCTATTCCGATACAAGATTTTGTCTGACGGCATATACCCTTAGGATCTATTCCAATGGAAGACTTGTCCGTTGGTATAGATCCTGAGAAATCTTAAAAAAATTTTCGTTTGTGTAAACCCTCATATTTATAGACACGTAATTTCATTGGTAAAAACTCAAACTTCAGTATGTATACACCTATAGGTCTAAGATCTATACCAACAACTTTTTCCATCAGTATAGATCTTTTTTTTTTTTACAATTGATCATTCAATTTTATTTTATTTTATTTATAATTTTCTTTGCACTTATTTTTTTCTATATTAACAAATACCATTTGTCAATTTTTTTATAATGAAGAGAAAATTGTATTATTTTCCAAATTTATTTCTTTATTTCTTTATTTTTTTTACTCTTGAGTTCAAGTTTGACTAATTTACATAGTGATTCGAACTTAAGTCAAGTGTAAATTACTCATAAGCTAATCACTAATTAATGCTCGTAATCAAAATTAACTTAACCATTGATTGGTTTGTCAGGATGGTCTTCATACTGTTTCCTAAAGTCCTCTATGTTTTACTATGTTTTCATCAGCTAAAACAGAGTCCCCAAAAACAAATTGTTGATCAATGACTCCACCAAATTATTAGTCTCCTGCAATGTTAGAACAAATCAACCAAATCAACGACTTCACTTCACAAGATTATAAGTCCCCAAAAACAAATTTAAGTAAAATAAAAAAAAATTGAAAGTAATGAATTAAGAATAATAAGTGCATAAAAGGTGAAAGAATATTACAGTGGAAGGTTGGCCGTTGTTCATGCTATACACTTTGGCAGTCGCATTGTTGTAGAAATTCCTCCACAGAAATCTGAATCCATGAACATTTTCGGTGAACTTTCTACTCATATGTAATTCCATTATGTAATCGCCATTAGAACATGAACCACTCATACATGAAGATGAAGAAAGCACTGGTAGGCCTCTTCGGCTTGTTTGGATCCTTCACATCCTTCTTAGTTTTTTTTCTAGCTGCTGCACTATTTCTCTTCAACCTAATGAAAAAATTCCCAAAAAAAAAAAAAAACACATCGATAAATAGAAGAGGCTAACACTAAAATTTGCGATGATCTTAGATCGCAATTGCCATGATATCAAAACAAATATTGACTTAGAAGTTACAACAAAGCAAAGCAAGGAATAAAACTCACTTGCTGTCAGTTTTCTTCAAATTAGCCAT